TTTATTAATAATTTTAGGTAAGTTGAATACAAGTCCCAGACATGTGGGTAACAACTAAGATGACAAATTTTCGAATTTTTGGAAGAAAATATGACATTTATTCTAAGATTACATTCTCTTGAAATCATCTAATAATGATGATGTATTCCATTAGTATAATATTTATTTTTGGTTGTCAAATTTAAGGGATTTTTTAATGTTTTTTGCATATAATAATAATCAGAAAAGACTACTTTACATGTACATTTTATTTGGTTTACTTTAATTGCAATTTAAGGAAATATTAATATATTATTTGAGATTGTTAATCAAGTCTAAATTGCCTGTATTGTGAAAAGATTAGGATGTGGGCTGTGTGGCTAAAAGATGAGTTGGATTGATGGGACCATACCTATTATTTTTATTACTATTGGGTTTGGATATTAGCAAACAGGTATGGCCTATTGAATAGCTTGTAGAAATGATTGATAATTGAACTAGTGTACATAGTTCTGGAATACAAATTTGAATTTGAGACTTGCATAAGTACATCAACTGTTCTCATTTTAGAATCTTCTTCACGAGCAATTTCATGGTATTAGATAACAATTTAAAATATTTTTTAAAGCATACTTTTATTATTATTAGAATGTATGTCAAAAACACATTGATATAATTAACGTTTATTTTTATTTAATATTTTTATTTTTATCTCTCTTAATCAATATCTTCAGAGTGTTGGTTAACTTTTGCCTATAAGAATAAGAAAGTGTTTATTGCAAACATAAAGCGAAATAAACCAAAGTATGAAAATTATTAAATCAAATAATAACATTGAAGAACTAATCATTAAAATGACCAATGGCATTGTAAACTAATCAACATATATGTAATTGTCATCTAATTTAGCTGGTTAATTCTTGGGTGGTATCTAGGATCTATTAATCTAAGATCAAACCTTGTTTATGTAGTTTTATTTGCCCATTTTGGCTATTTTATTTACACCGAAAATTCAAGGAATAATCGATCTTGATATTCGCTTTCATAAGAAAAAAGTTGTATATGAGAGATGATATCTTAAACAAACTTTTGATATGAAATCATGATAAAATTGCAATGTATTTTAGGTAAATATAGCATTAGGTCGGCTCGCCTAAAGCACAACACATTATTACGGAGTGTCGTATTTAAGTTGGGTTGTATCTATTAAAAAGACACGGTATGAATGTATTGAAGATACTACTGTCAGCGTGTCATGAGTTTGTTATGGCAAGAATGCCACATCAGCAATTAGTTATAACAGATTTATTGAGTTTGTTACAGCTTCTTCTAGAATATTCTTACATTGTATTATTGTAATACATGATATAAATACTCTATTTCCTGATGTAATCTATTTCATTCAAAATTAATGAAAACACAAATTTCTATTTAGATTTTCTCCCTCTAATTTTCTCTGTTTGATAACATGGTATCAGAGCTGAAAATCTATTTTTTTTTTTTTATTGAAATCTTCACAAATTCTTTGATCTAAAACCAATCTTGCAGGATTTCTTCATTGTTCTTCCTAAAATGAATTGTTCCAGTTTGATTTTCTCTGAATCTCTTTCTGAATCATCAAATTCTTTTTGATTTTCTACTTCAAATTCATAAATCATGACATGCTGGTAGTAGTATTTTCAATAAAATGAATAGCACAGCAAATCACAACAAAATAAGTGGATTTTAGCTTGGACATATATAAGCACTGCACAACACATTCAACATAACGTACATGTAATTATTGGGTTGAGTCATGGACCAATGACACCAATCCTAGTACACAAGCTTGGCATGAATCACAATACAAATTTTATAAAACTTTGACTTCATTAATTAATTTTAACTATAAAAACAAGAAATCCAAAATAAACATTGTTCGTTCTTTAATTTCATTTTTAGTATGGAGTACTCGTTACTTTGTAGGAGTCACCAAGAAATAATGTAATCTTATACGAGTACTTCGTATACATTATCCAATGTCATCAATGACATAAGAACCAAACATATAGTAGCTGGAGAAAACAGTTACATAACCGAAGAGCATTTAAGTCATAGTTAGTTACAACTAAACAAAAATGAGGTAATTTTCACTTTAATATTCACCAACCAAAAATGAATCTTCTAATGCTAATCTTTTGATGTGACATAATAATAATTTGCCGTTAATTAGCTCTTAATATTCACATCTCCAACGGTCAATTTTGGACCCACTATTAAGTTTGTAAGTTGTCAACTTCAAATTTGTATTGGCCTTTACTATATGCCATGGTCAATTTGGTCATGGTATTACGGACATATGACCCCTTCGTTTATTAATTATCTTTACGTGTTATGAAATTTTCAAATTTTGCATTAATTTTGTGTTGGCTTGCCAAATTTGACCTGATTAATATCATGGGAGTCTTCGTTAATCATGTCTATAATCATATATATAGAAGTTGTTTAATGTTATGCTATCCCCTTACAAGTCAAGATTACGTTATTTCATGTGCTAATTAGCTTTACTTTCATGGAATGAATGATTATGACCCTATTCTAATCTTTCATACAAAATTACTCACATGTATGGATTTATAGCGATTAATTGATTCGATAATATTTGTTTAGTGGTTAAGACTGAAAGTCAACTTAATATATATTTCCCTTGTGAATCATTTAGAAAAAAAAATAAAAATTGATACACCTAGTTAATCGGTGATCAATTAAAATATCTAACGCAAATAGACTCGCCATTTTAAATAATGATTCGAATAAGTAACAAAACAAAATAAAACCATCTTTCATTGATTTTTACTCCGCAGCCCGCATAAATTAAAGTCAAATTAGGTTATATATTGGTGGTAAAAAATTTAGTAAATAAAAGTATTAATGAATGTCATTTTATAGTATTGTCTTTCAATGTGTGCAAATGTAACAAGGTTAATAAAATTTTACAATACATATTACTCCTTCTGTGTTTTGATAGTATTGTCGAGGCATAATTTAGATCATTAATATCTTTAATTGCCTATTAGTTAAATTGTAAAAATAAATTTAAAAAATAATAATGAAAATAGACATTGTAACTAACTCAATGATATACAGAGTATTGTATAATACATTAACATTTATCCATTTCATAATAGTAAAAACTTTAGTGCATAAATCAAAGTGATACAAAAAAAAAAAGGAGAGAGTATATTAAATATCAACAATTTTAGTACTCGTAGCTAATTATTGTGTGACGAATTAAGGAGATATAAGATTTTTGCATTGCAAATTTGACTATTCTCGATCTTGTTTTTCTTGCATTTAGAAAATCAAAAGAATGTTTTGGTAATTGTTTATAATAATGTGGAGAAGGACGTCGCTCACGTCAGTGATCAAGATTCAAGAGGAAGTTGTGAAGGCATTATGGTGGACTGGTGGTGGTGTAACAACTATCGATAATTACAAGCTAATGCAAAGAAAAAACAATAGCGTCTATGGATTATTATTCCATGAAAATTACAGTAAGATATTATTGTAATTTACTTTAAATAACTTTTGAAGAGGCATTTTGGGCCCATTGGATGATTCTCCCATGGGTTAAAGGAAATAGTACGAGTATTAACTTTCAATTTGTATGTACTTAGATTTATGAAAATTGGATTCCTTGAATATTGAGCTCCCTACAAATATTTAGTTATCCTTACGATATACAGTAACATATAAATAAAAACAAAAAAGAACAGAAAGAGTAACTTCTCTTTGAAACTTTACAGAACTTTAAATTACATTGATTTATTGACACAAACGGCATAGAGCTTTAAGTTACATGAATCCGCATATCAAACAAAATAATATGGAATACCCTCTTTTATTGTAGAGTTTCAATTGATTACCCATTTACATAATGCAGAATTATAAAGCCTAAGTACAACACTGTTCTAATCACTTTAAATCCCATTGATCTTACTTGTTTGTTACTCCGTACATTATAAAATATAAAGAATTAGACCCTGTTCTTTGGAGCTTTTGAGCAGAGCAGAGCAGACCAGATTTCAATAGAATAAGTGTCAGCAGAGCAGAACAACTCATTTATACTCAGTGAAGCAAAGCAGACCACAATAGCTCAAAAGAACATAACCTTATTCGTATTTAATTGCAAATTAAACGGGATACTCCCTTCGTTTTTTTATTTGCATCACTTTCCATTTATGGATGTTTTTTTTATGCATCACTTCTATATTTGGTAATTTTGTATTATATTTTATTATTTCTCTTTCTTACTTTAAACTCCACTCAAATTATTTTATCATTTATCTCTTTTCCATGATCCCCACTTACATAATAAAAATATATAACTTCTCTCACATACTCTCTTTCATGATCTCCATCTTATTTTTACTATAATAATTTATTCACCCAATCACAATATTATATTGCTCTCCTAAAACTTTGTGCATTTTCAAGTAATGCAAATAAAAAAAACTAAGAAAGTATTTCTTATCAAAATTCATGAAAACTTATCAGATTAAATACCAAATCAAGATCCCTCAATCGAATAAATTGGGAAATTCCCCCATAACCCAATAAAGTTGATCAATAAATAAATAATGTTACTCAAAGGAGCCTTAAAAAAGCAACATAAAAACACTTGTAACTAAAGCTGCCTATTACATGCAATTGTTACTTTTCCAAATGCAAAAATAAAGCTTACAATTCCACTAACCCATTACTTCATCTATATACTCCACTGTATTATGAACATGACTACCATCCACTCTCATTAATTTACTCCCACAATCTTTAATTCTATCATTTTCTCACTTAATTACATTTACCACCCTTAATTAATTATACTAACCTACGTAACGGCAATAATTAAATTAAATAATCTCCCCATTCTTTTGTCTTTTTACATAACACAAGTAAAAATTTAATCATTTAATTAATTTTCAAATTTCTTATTTTGGTTTGAAATATTCAAATTTAAGTAAAATTTATTTAAGTTGAAAGTACACCCACCAATATCAGATTCTCTCCTGAAAGTTAGAGAGAGAAAGTGCAGAGAAGAAGAAGAGAGAGAAAAATAGCTGTTGAGGAAGTCGGTCGGTTCATCTCCTTCACTCTCTTTCTCTTCTCCATTTGTTCCTCTTTCTCTCTCTAAATTCTCTTGCATTTTTTCGTCGTTCTCTCTCTCTAAACCCCCTTTGGAAACGCGTTTCTTTCCTTTTCTGTGTTCTTGTTGATGACCTAACTCAACTCTCTTTCTCTCTAGAGCTTTCTCTATCTAGAAAAAGCAGTTACTTCTCCCTTAATTCTCAATAACTCCCACTTAATTCTCACCTCGAGGATTAAAGGGGTTTCAGATTTCATCCCCAATTCCAAAACCCATATCTTAATTTCTCCAGAAAATCCCCAATTTTTCTGGGGTTTTTTTATTTGTAATTTTGATTTTTTAGAGTTAGGGTTTTTTTTGTTCTTAATTTGTAGTTGAAAAGTTCAATTTTGGGGGAAATTAGTGTAGTTATGAAGAGGGGAGGAGGAAAACTAGAGACATACTTGGGAGTAACACGAACTCGATCGGTTCAAATTCTGGCATTACTGGGTTTACTGTACATGATCTTCATGACATTTGAGGTACCCTTTGTTTTTAAAAGCGTTTCACAGGATACTTCTGGCGTTTCATTCCAAAACGATGCGTTTGTGAGACCTCAGCAGCTTGATAGTGAGGAAGAATTGCAGGAGAAAGAAGCTCCGATCCGACCGTTGAAAGAGCCGTTAAGGGCTTCATCAGTTTCTCCGAAACCTCAGCGTCAAATGAGGGAGTATAAAACACTTTCTGGGTTGATTTTTGATTGGAGAGCTTTAGATAGCACTGAAAAGGATGGATTTTCTGGGTTGCATAAATCTGCAATAACTGCATTTCAGTTGGGGGAGAAGCTTTGGGAGGATCTCAAGTCAGGGAAGATAAGAATCGATGTCGAAAAGGCGGCGGAGAATCGGACCGAGACATCGTGCCCGAACTCGGTTTCGCTATCTGGAGATGAATTTACAAAGAAAGGAAAGGTAATGGTATTGCCCTGTGGGTTGACATTGGGGTCTCACATTACTCTGGTGGGTAAACCAAGGATAGCTCATGCTGAACATGATCCAAAGATATCAATGTTGAAAGATGGTGATCAAAGTTTGATGGTTTCACAATTTATGTTGGAATTAATTGGGTTGAAAACTGTTGATGGCGAAGACCCACCAAGGGTTTTGCATTATAATCCTAGGTTGAAAGGGGATTGGAGTGGAAAACCTGTAATTGAGCAGAATACATGTTATAGACAGCAATGGGGAACTTCTGTTCGTTGTGAAGGGTGGAAATCTAGGCCTGATGAGGAGACTGGTGAGTTTTTAAAGATCTAATCTTTGTTAATATGATTTTGATTAATTGTATGTTGGATTATACTTGCTTGGATTGGTTGAAGCTGGCATAAGGGATTGCCTTTTGTAGTTGTTGGATAGAAATTTGAATTATATTTTTGGTTTGGAGTAGAATGATGGAGTTAACTGTGATTTTTGGTCAATTAGACTGGTGTTGACTTAAAAAAGGTGGATTTTTGTGATGTTTGTCCTAGATGTATGGTGGCTGTGGTAAATGAAGAATTGCATGATGATATGACTTAATGAATGATAATCTAGGATTAGCTCCCTGCTGATTTTAGCTCACATTGTTGCATGTTGTAACAACAAATTAAATAATGTATTGGTTGAGGCTCGAGGGACATGGGTGTGAAGGCTTGGGCGGTGTCAAAAGTTCAGTCTATTATCTGTGGTGTCATCAAGCTTTGATTACTGATATTTTGATTCTAGTACTGACCTAGTTATGTGCTTCTTGGTCTTTGTAGTTGATGGGCTGATTAAGTGTGAGAAATGGATCCGTGATGATGATAGTAATACTGAAGAATCCAGGGCAACATGGTGGTTTAGTCGGCTGTTGAGCAGGCCAAAGAAGGTGACAGTAGATTGGCCATTTCCTTTTGCTGAGGATAAGCTGTTTGTTATGACTGTTAGTGCTGGTTTGGAAGGTTATCATGTCAATGTGGATGGGAGGCATGTCACATCCTTTCCTTACCGAACGGTGAGTAAATTCCTTGAATCTTTTTAAGGATGTACTGCTGTTGTGCTTCTTCTGATATTGATTCTACAATGTTTCCAGGGCTTTTCACTGGAAGATGCAACTGGGCTGACATTGAAAGGAGACATTGATGTTCATTCTGTATTTGCTGCTTCTTTGCCATCATCACATCCTAGTTATGCTCCACAGAGACACCTTGAGTTCTCTGATAGATGGCAAGCTCCACCTCTCCCTAGCGGCCCTGTGGAGCTTTTCATTGGCATTCTTTCTGCAGGCAACCATTTCGCCGAAAGGATGGCTGTGAGAAAATCTTGGATGCAACATAGGTTAATTAAAAATTCCAAAGTGGTGGCCCGATTTTTTGTAGCATTGGTAGGTGGAGATGATATGTTTAAATCGCTCATTGTGTAAAAGTTGTGTAAATGAGTGGTTTAGCCTATGTGCTAACATGACACTGATTTTTTATATTTCAGCATGGAAGGAAGGAAGTGAACGTGGAGTTGAAGAAAGAGGCGGAGTTTTTTGGTGACATTGTTATTGTACCTTACATGGATAGCTATGACCTTGTTGTTGTGAAAACTGTAGCAATTTGTGAATATGGGGTGAGTGTTCCTACATTTGATTTAACTTCTCTCCTTCCAAGGTGCAATGCAACTTTAATGACAACCTCCTTTTGTTAACAGGTACGCACTGTCGCTGCAAAGCACATTATGAAGTGTGATGATGATACCTTTGTTCGGGTTGATGCGGTTATTAAGGAAGCAAACAAGATCCCCGAGGGTAGCAGCTTGTATGTGGGTAACATCAACTACTATCACAAGCCTTTGCGCAGCGGTAAATGGTCTGTCACATATGAGGTATGACTTGGGACCATGCTGCCCCCAACTAAATGTTTATTAGGTCTTGTGCTTACTAGTGTCTTCTATAAGTTTGTGTGAATCTTGCTTTTTGTTATGCTACTATTAGTTTGTGTTATTTTTTTCGTCATTAAATACGGAGTATCTTGCTATAGAACCTCTATTTTGGCCATTTCCTCAGCAAAATTATATGAATTTCAATAGATATTGCTGGGTTGCTTGACCAATATGTTTGCTATCAGAAGCTGAGATGCTTTCTTCAAAACTTTTGCTGTTAGTGCATATCCATTCCTGTTGTTTGTTTGCTAGTTTAGTCATTATTCGGCATTTTAGACATATTCAATTGAAGTATGTGCGATGATTCAATGTATCTATGTTAGAGACTTTTAACTGAATTGTACATTAATGTTTGCACTAGTAATAAATGTCATTAGCTATATCGTATGGAGTGTCATGTGCTGTGTTTTGACGTATGTTATCTTTGTGTTTCTAATCATCTTTCATGATGTAGTCGAAAAGTTCGTATTCTCCGCAATACAGCTTCAGGTTTTAACTTTGTGCTTTAATATCTGCATGCTTTTGGAGACGCTCATCTTTTGCTCATTATTGTTCACAAATTTGATTGAACGTTGATTAATTGTTTTCATGAATCACCATGGGGACCCAGAAAGAAAATAGAGCATATAATGGAACCTGAGCAGTGGCTGCAAAGTCTTAGAGTGTCATCATGTCAATATATGGTGCATGCCCACCTTCTATAGTGTGTGGGTGGGTGGGGGGGTTGTGAAGACTAAAGAGCGGTCCCTGTTACATGTCATCTTGCCAATAAGATTGATGAAATTGAACAAGGAAAGAGAGGCTTTAAGTCTGGCACTTTATTGATAGAGGATGAATGGGATGATGGTCATGTCTTGGTGTTCTAATATGACTGCTTCTTATGAATTGTCAATTTGTTTATCATGGTAATTAGCAGAATTGATGAAAAGTATCTCACTTTTTTGTCCGATTTTGTCTTCAGGAGTGGCCTGAGGAAGATTATCCACCTTATGCCAACGGACCAGGTTACATTTTGTCATCAGATGTCGCAAACTTCATTGTTTCCGAGTTTGAGAAACATAAATTAAGGGTATGATACTCTTCTAAATAAGAAAGAAGAGGGAAAAAAAAAGAAATTTTTTTATATCTCGATTAAAAACCGTATCTTTGTTTTAAATCTAAATTGTTATTATTCATCTCTTGCAGTTGTTTAAGATGGAAGATGTGAGTGTTGGAATGTGGGTGGAAAATTTCAACAGCACAAAACCAGTGGAATACGTTCACAGCCTCAAGTTCTGTCAGTTTGGATGTATAGAAGATTATTACACTGCTCATTACCAATCTCCGAAACAGATGATCTGTCTATGGAACAAGTTGCAACAGCTAGGCCGCCCAGTTTGCTGTAACATGAGATGATAGTTAGTGAATTACAGGGAAGCCAGCGCTGCCCTGTTCGCTGATCGTCGAATAGCTAGCAAATTTTTGAAGCCAAATATCAGTTCCCCTTTTTTGTAAATTCTGCAAAAGGTCCTTTTTTAGGTTGTTCTCTAGGACCATATAGGTGTCTAGTTCCAGATTCATTCATTATTTTCACCCACTTTCCTCCTTTCCTTTCTCTTACCATTATTCTAGTTTTTGTACCTTGGTCGAGTCGAGCCGTGATGATGATGAGAAATATGCACCCCTGGTGAACAGCCTTATCCAGTTGGAAGGTTTTGTAATCTAATGTAGAGAAAAAAACAGTACATGGAAATGAATCCTCAACTTTCCAGATACTGATCAGGTGTATATCTATAAATTATGATTGGATATGGAACCATTCTATGGTTATTAAATTAGAAGCTACTCTTTCACATTATCTTTTAATTTTCCACTCAATTTGGCTAAGTGGGAAAGGCCATGTGAGGAAGTTAGTTGCTTATATGGCAAAATTGGTAACCACCAATATTATTCTTTTAATCATTCTTAGCCGTGTATCCGTTCTCTTTGAGTTGCCCTTTTTTCTTTTTCTTTTTCTTTCTTTTTTTTTTTTTTTTTTTTGGGTCCTTTTGGGTTTGTCTCATATATTATAAATGATTATAGATTATCATGCTCCGTATTTAATGTATTCCCTCCATATAATATACAATTTTGATTTCTAAATATATACTCCTTTCATCCCATAATTTTGTGTACGTATTTCTTTTTGGATATGTTAAAATGTTGTTTTTAAAAATAGTACATTATTTAATTTTTATGTTTTCCATACAAAATGCACATATATCTAAAAAATCATTACTTACTTTTTCTTTTTTTTCATACAATATTCTCTACTTTTTATTATTCTCAAATAATATTCTCTATTTTTTATCTTTCCAATAGAATATTCATTTACTTTCACCATTCTCCTTAATTACCGTGTTTTTGAGAAATAAGCACGAAATTTTTGGGACGGGGGAGTATAAATTAAATATTTGTAACAAAAAATCTATGTAATACCTATTCAACAACATATTTCATGATTGACAATGTAGTATGAATAGTGGGGTTAAAAAAAAAAAAACAGTCAAACGTGTTAATTATTTTGAGATGAAGAGATTTAGAGAATACTTGATTCCACTTTCATCAACTAGGCAACAAAAGAGGGTGGAGGGAGTATATATTCTTCTTCATATTAACAATTTTATTGTCATTGCCGTTAAAAGTAATAAAAGATCGAACGACAAAGGTGGTGTGTAACTTAAACTTCCGACTTCTTGTCCATAAAAAGATCGTAAGTTGCACATGAGTATGCTCCCTTGATAATGCATAATAATACTACGTATGTGCTCTACTTTGGGAACATAGAGACGTATTAACATCTTTGGAACTTTAAAGCGGTTTGTTCCCGAATGGTATGGTATAATGGTTCTTACTGCTCCTAGTGGCTATCAATTTGAAGTATGCAATCAAAGCTTTTGTAAATGCCCGATTTGTTAGTTGATACATTTACTGCCAATTAGGGTAACCGATTATTTGGCTAAGAGTGTGTTTGGATTGAAGGAAATGGGGGAAAAGGAAGGAAAGAGAAATAAAGGGAGGGAGTTTCTTTCATTTGGATAAAAAATTAGGGATGAAGAGAATTGGAGGGGAGAGAAATGGAGGGACTAAATTTTAAGAAAATAATCCCTCCAACAATGGAGAAATTTGGAAGGAAAACTCATCCTTTTTCCTTCCCCTTCCCTCCCCTTCACCTCCCTCCCCTTTTCCTTCCCTTAACATTACCCAAACAAACTGTAAATGATAATCACCAAACATGGTAAAATAATAGAAAAAAAGGGTAAAATAAGCAAGTATAAAGTTGTTATTTGACTAATTGTTAAATAGTAGTTATTTGGACATTTTTTCTTCCTAAAATGCCAAAAGTAATATAGGTATAGAATGATAATAGGAAATCGGTGGATAATATAAAGTTAAATACAATGTAAGATTTTATATCGAACGTTTCTGTGTGTGGCTAACCACACCGTGTGGCTAACCACACCGTGTGGCCAGCTAACACACAAGTAACCCTTGATCGACCGAGTAATCCCTGATCGAGTAACCTCTAACCATGTAATCCTTGACCGACCGAGTAACTCCTGACTGAGTAACCCCTGACCGACCCGAATAACCCTTGACCAAGTAACCCTTAACTGATCGAGTTAGTAACCCCTGACTGCCCAAGTAACTCCTGACCAAGTAACCCCGACCATTCTTTCAAAAAAAAATGTGGCTAGTCATACCGTGTGGCCAGCCACATATGAAAGTTTGTGTTTTATATTTTGATTGGTGTACGAGTATTTTCTTCTTTATTTCATCCTTATCCCTCTTTAATCTCCATCATCCCAAGCGAACATTAGACTTTTCTTACTCTTACCCTATAGACCTGTATAAAGTTATCCTTATCACCCCTCCTTATCCCCAAACAAACATCCTCGTAACAACTCAAAGCAATATTATTACTATTTTAAGACAAAGCGAGTAAATAATGTTGTATAAGTTGCAAGACTATAGCAATACCATTGATGGGGAATGACTAGTCTAAACAAACAAAGAAATCTTGGAAATTTATATATAAGTTGTAAGAGTTGACACCATTCACGCTTTCATTTCTTGTCATCATATTAGCGTCTTTTACGTAACAGTTGAAATTAGCTTCACACTTTTTGTAATCTTCTCATTGTTTTTGATTCGTGAATTATGGGTTTGATGCGGCCTTATTTTCGTCTCTACCTTTTCTGTGTGGTTTTTGGGTCGTTTTGGTACACATTTTGGGTGTTTTTGTTGATTGTAGGTTTGTTTTTGTTTTGATGTAATTAAATTAATGTTAATGAATATGATCATTTTTTTTTTCTTAACATAGGTGGGTAGTGGCTAACTGGCTATGTGTTGGAGTTCCACCAAATAGTCGGGGTGGGTCGGTTGGTGAGACCATCTATCTCCGTTTAACTGCGAGCAAGGTTCGACTTTCGTTGGCTCATTACCCCCTTCCTAATGTTTGAAGTAAGAGATATTATATAATTTAAAATTTGTCAACATCAAAAAGATGGGAAACGTGTTTTGGTTGAAGAGATTATAGTAACAATAAAAACACAATAATAGTTTTAATTTTAATCTGCCGTATTGAAGTAAGTAAATCATACATAAAATCCGCAATGTAGGTGTTTTAGATATGTAACGTACTACTCTGTAGTAATCTTTTGAATAGCAGAAATTATGATGAGTTTACCATCAAGGTTCTTGGCATCAATGTAGATGCTAGCTATTGGTTTTCCCTAAATTACAACACTCTATGAGCCTGAGTCACAAAGAGTAATGATATACTTCGTAGAAGGCTAGAAGCTATAAGCTTATAACAATATAAACGGGTTCCAACTACCACATTCAAGACTAAAACAATTAAGCTAGTTCACGCCCACTTTTGCATTATACTTTGTACTCTGTATTATTTATGTTATGAAAGTGTTGGATTAAGTCAGATCCTTTATTATTAATTCAAAACCTATGTCTATACACGTCTTTGTTGTTTGAGGATCATAAAAATTAGATAGGAATGAGCTTACTTCTCTTGTAGTATTGTAGCCCATTCATGTAACCTTGAAAATTGAGTGTATGAGGATGGGCGTAGGATGAGACCCAAAAAGGGCCCATCTTAAAATAAAAAGAAAAATGAAGGCCCATATAGATCACTCCATCAAGACTTTCAGACTGAATATATTTCCCCAAGTTAAAGATTTAACCCAATTCCAAGCCCAATTCCAAGCCCATCATCTCTCAACTACAGTACTAAACATTTATTTTTATTTTTATTTTTGTTTTTTTTTGGGTGAACATGAGGGGCAAATGCCCCTAAACAAAGAGAGAAACAGAAATAAAAACAAAAGAACAAACGAAAACAAAGCAACCCAAAACAGCCAACCCCAAATCAAGTACCTAAAGGGATTGGCACAAGCTTAGACCTCGCCCTCGACTCAAGTCCTCTAATAAAACGGCCTGAAAATCCTTCGGAACCGCCTCAAAAATCACTATCTTCTAACCAGAGTTCTCTGCAAAGTTTGCTAACCAATCAGCCTTTAGATTAGCTTCCCGATAGCAATGTTCGACAATAATAACCTCCCACCCTTGTCTAGCAATGAGAGCCTTACATTTTGTTCCAATATATATAAGAAGTACTTCTTAAGGTCATCTTATGAACTTTGAAGATTCTATGATGAGCTAAAAGTTGCACACACACACACACTTAACATGTGAATATTAGAGATGACAAACTAAGTGTGTGGTTCATGTCATATCCTATTGATATTTGATATGTCATTTGGTTTATTTATGTTTGTTTAGTTTCGGTTCAAATTCAAGTTTATTATCAATTAATTTCTCTACATCTAGGTTAAAAATGGGTTGTTTAATTTCAGGTAGAGTTCGAGTCAAAAGTTGAATGGTACGGTGGAGCAAACCAACACTTAGTCCCGATTAGCTAGATAATAGCAATGCATGACAAGTTTATTAGAGTGAATTCTGCTAAAGTGGAGACGTTCTATGGGATGAATGTTCATGAAAAGAGTGGATTTTGGAGGAAGACTAACAAATTTGAGTCTTTCTTTTAGTAGTCTCAACTTGAAACCATTCGAGATTGAAAGGAAGAGATAAAGTTATGGCAATTGTGAAAGATGAAGAAAATAAAGGAGAAGCAGAAATTTGTAACAAGGAGAAGATTTTGTATCTTGTGGAAAGATGGTGGAAATCTAGTGTTTTTATCAACGCAAAATAGTGCATACGAATTGCTAACAAATTGTGGATTTCAATTAAGGTAATTTATTTTTATTTTATTACGTACTTAGTTTTTCCTAAGTTCTACTCACTATTTATGTGATCCGAATTTGTTTAATTTATGTGTTAAAAAAAATTTGCAGCTGATAAAAACTTATGGATTTATGTTGAAGAACTTGTTCTGGTGTTAGACACATGTATATTATTAATGTCTAACATTGATGCATGATGAATTGGAGAATGTTATAGTAATTTACAAATGACTAATATTTCATATAATAATTTGAAAATACTAATTAGGAGCGTTCACATGTACCAAAACCAAAATGATGAATTTTTTACTATGTACTTCGTAGTAGACTTGATAAGTTTTATTATTTTAAAAGGTAAGTATTTACTCTCTAGTCCGTCTTCGGCTCTCCCTATATTGCCCTGGCTATATATTTTATAATCCATTTATTATTCGTGCGACATCATATTTGGTGATA